CAGCAGGCAGGAGGGAGGCAGCAGGCAGGAGGGAGGCAGCAGGCAGGCAGCCGCCCGCCCCCCGGCCCCGCTGCTCGGAGGGAGCGGAGCACGTTTCCCCCGGCGGGGAGGGGCAGCGTGCGCAGCCTGCCGCCGAAAGTTTGGGGGTGCCCGCGGGGTGACAGCGGGCGGGGGAGGCGAGGGGCTGTGCCCGGCGAGGGGCTGTGCCCGGCGAGGGGCTGTGCCTGGCGAGGGGCTGTGCCTGGCGCTGTGCCCGGCGAGGGGCTGTGCCTGGCGCTGTGCCCGGCTGTACCGAGCCGCGGTCGGGCTGTCCCGGCGCCGAGCGCACCCGCTCCCGGGCTGCGCTGCGGGGAGGGCTGGGCGCTGGTGAAGCTTCCCAGTATAACGCGGTCTCTGCCCTTGGCAGGGTTTTCTGGCGTTTTGGAGAGCGAGACGTTTCGTACACTTTGGGCTGGCGAACGGCCACGAGCTACGATCAGTAACGAGCATCTGTGATCTGTGATCGGCGGGTCACGGGAAGAGACCTGGAATCATCTCTGGTGCAGCCTCCTGCTCAGGGCAAGGGCAGCTCTTGGGGTCAGACCAGGTTGCTCAGGGCTTTCTTTTATCTGGTCTCGTCTTGCAAAACCTCCGAGGATGGAGACTGAAGGGGCTCTCAGAATAACCCGTGCTTGGCTGGCCTCGACATGAAAAAGGGTTTCCATCTATTGCATTATCACCTCCCATGTCTCAGTTTGTCTCTTGCCCACCATTGCACCGCTGTGAAGAGCCTGGCTCCATTTTCATGACAACCTCCTATCAAGTCTTGGAGGGCTGCTATGATGTGCCCTCTAAGCCTCCCACAGGCTCAACAAGCCCAGTTCCCTCTGCCTGTCCTCAAGGACAAGTCTCTCATCCCTCACCATCTTTACTGTTGTCCACTCAACTGACTCCAGTTTATCAGCATCTCTCTTTTATTGGGGAGCCCGAACCAAGGTGCATTATTCTCCATCTACTCTGAGGAATGCTGAGTAGGGGTTATCACTGATACTCTGTTAGTCTCTGATACTCTGTAACACACTGGAAATCAGAGAAGTTTATTTCAGTTGCTGAACTGTCCTCTATCAAGTCTGATGTTCCAGTTAGATTTTAATTTTATTTTCTTTTCTAACACAGCATTGTTGTAGTCCCACTGGGGCACATCCTAACAGAAATAGGTTACAATTACTGCAAACTTACAAAAAACGCTGAGCAACTGCTTTCCTATCTCTGTATTTTTCAGTCATAGGATAGGTCTTCTCAGGAGTCTTTGAAGAAGCTTCTCCTTGTGTATGATCTGTGGCTCAATATCAGTTTGAAAAACTGATGCCCTCTCAGCAGCAGCCACATTCCTTGTTTTGCTTCTTCTGTAGCTGAACTGCCCTCTTTTTCCTCAACCAGGCCTCCAGCATTTTATGAAAGCACTTCCCTTTCTCCCAGAGAGTCTTCCAGTCCTTATTCATTCCACAAACCGCTCAGCTTGGGAGACAGTCCCATGATCTTCTTATGCCAACTTGGACTAGTTGGCTTTCCAAGTCATCCCGTGGATTGACACTTCTCGGATGTTTAAGGAAGAGTTTAGTCTTTGCTGGAGAGTTTAATCAGCATTCATCTGCAGACTTCCTCATCCTCCCATAAAATCTGGATGTTGCTTTAACCCTCCTTTCTTCTCCAGTGATTTTAATACAGCCAAATGTAAATCCATTGAAAAGCACAGTACCTTAATTTTGATTGAGTAAAAAACAGAGTAGGCTCTGATGTCCTATTCAAAAGATATGAGATGTAATTGCTTTTAAAAGACCTTAAATGAAGCTTGACAAGAGGAAGATGGAATTAAATTGAATAGATATTTTCTTAAAATAATATCTTTCCTAAGGAAAGAGGGCTAATGGAAGATGCCATTCTATTTAGGCAGACAGAGCTGTGGTTTTGGCGTTTTGTGGGTTTAACTTGTTTGTTTCTTTATCCAAAAAAATTAATCTGTATTATCGTCTCAGATAAATTCCATTTATAGGGGTTTCAGCATACATAGTTTTATATATTCAGCATTTATGGATAAATTAGTATCTCTTCCAACATCCTGGTTTGGTAAGAGAAAAATATTTCCTTTCACATGCTTCCTCAGGAATGTGAAAAATTTTTGTGTAAAGTCTTGTCCTACTTGTTGGTTTTTTACTGTAGGCTCCCAGGCATTTTGCTCAGTTAGATAACGCCAGCAGAAAATAAAACCCTCCAGCTGTTCTGCCACAAAACTCTTCTCGTTATGCACATCTAAATTATTGTTCAAGAAAAGAGGGATCACTTTGGTGAGACTTCTCCCACGTCCCACCTTTTCTGGAGGGGTAGAAGCTACAGTAGGAAGAACAAAATTTTACTATCAAAGTGATAATATTTCTGAAAATCCATCTTGAAAACTTCTTGTGGATTCTGTACCGTTGGGCTGATTCCATTCTCGTTCTTCTTGTTTCCTCCAGGAGCTACATGAAGCTGCACTGATATGAAATTAGTATGGGATCAGCTGGAATATGGTGTTCTGGGCCTTCTATTCTTCTTGGTTAAACCAATTACCTCACACCCATAGCCTTCAGTCAAAGCCTAATTAGGTTCCATGTTTTCAAAAAGCACTTCAGAATACCCCAGTGTTTTATAAACGCTTGGTTTTTTTTGTCTAGTGCCTGTTCAAGCACTACTGGCTGGCATTTGTCACACAGGTTGCTGCTCTGCTTGGTGTCTTTATTAAATCAGAACCCCTGTCCTTGGATTGATGTGCTTACACAGGCTGATATGTGGACACTTTGAATTTGTAGATTCTGTAAGTAAAACAATTATAGGTAGCCTTTGTAATAGAATATGCTGAATTATATGCTTCTGATCCAGAAACAATATGCATTTTAGTGTAAATTCAGAACTTACTTGCAGCCCCATATGTTGTGTAAATTAGTCCAACATTGCTAAAACAATCCTTACATTTTAATGAGAAATCCATTTCTGAACTCTTTCACTACAGTGTTGTTAACTTTTTTTTAAACCTGATGTTTTCCCTCCCCTTTCTTTTCCACTCCGATAGACCTATTTTTCTTTTCTACTGATACCCAAACAGGTTACTAAAGTGAATTAAATCACTAATTGAAAGGTAGTGAAAAATCTACCTGGAAAAATCTGATCTCTGGATCTAGATTTCACTAAATCCCAGAATTAGTATTTTATGTAACTTTTGAGGACACCAAGATGAATGGAACATGGGAGGGAAGGAAGAATATTGTGCTGCCTAAAAGTTGGAGGATGTATATTTCAATCTGCTGAGAAGAAAAATATTTAAAAAAAATGTTATGGTCAAGTCACTCTTTGTTATGATAAACTAAATAGCTGTAATTTTCTTTCTTTCCTTTTTTTTTTATTTTATATTTTTGGTAACCAATACAGTGATTTTATTTTTATTTTTTTTGTAATCAATACAACTGTTATACAGCACATGGCCAAAAGACATTTTCCATGGAACCAAAACTCACTTAAGATTTCCCATTTCCTTTTCTTCACTTTGGAGACCAGTCAATTAGTTATTAAATAAATGTTCATTAATTTTGATTCATTCACGTTTCCTAAAGGGAATCCTAAAGAAAATATCCTGCAGCAGTAAATAAATGCCATCAGATCAGCACTTTTTTTCTTCATCAGCCAAAACAAAGTATCTGCATAGATCTGAGAGGAACCATTTTTCAAAAACTGGCATTAATTAAATTAATTAAACTATATCCCAGTATGTTCTTATCAGTTCTGTTTTTTCACTGAGTTCCACATTGGATGGCCAGGCCTATAATTCCCTGTGCCACCACCCTTAGAAGGTGCTGGTCCAGCACATTCCCAGAATGTAAATATTCCAAGGGTTCTTAGAGGCCCTTTCCAGCTTTTCCCTTTCTTGTCCTTTTCAGCTGTTTTAAAACTCCAATTCAGCTTATCCAAATATGCAGATTTACTCAGTTATTTTTAGGGACTACTGTTTACAAAATTTACTTGACTACAGTTGAAATGGAGAATGTTTCATCATCGTGCTGTGGTATAATTACATCATCTCATCATTTACATACAGGACCGAAATATTTGGTGAAGTCTTCCAATTGCTTTTGATAAATCATGCAAGCATATTCCAATAATATTGTTTGGATCCTTTTCTTTTTTCTGTTTGGAAAAACAGCTCTTTTCAATGCTGTTGCACCACTCTTACCATTGGGTTTTTATGTCATTTTGTTTCCCTTCTAATTTTTTAAACAGTTCTTAAATCTCTCACATATATTTCTTGCAGCTCCTAGTGCTTGCAAGAGATGGGGGTTTTTTATTCTTACGTATCTTTATTCTCAAGGCAAATTGATGCACTTTTTTTCCTGTCTTAAATAATTCTTAAATAATTCCCAATTATCATGCACAATTTTGTATTTAAATTTTTATATAATAATTAGATAGTATGAGGATATTGTACAGCGTTCTGTAACTTAATAAATTCAAGGTTGCCACTTCAGGAAGCCCTCAAGTTTCTGAGAGATAAAGGGCAGGGGATCCCGTGGAGGTTTTCCTTGTCCCCAGGACAGCTGATCCCTGCTGGTCAGAACTCAGACTGAGGGCTCACACAGACTTCCAGTCGGATCCATCCCAGCTTCTTCATGTTTTTGCTTTTATTTTAGGGCAGTTACACTGAAATCCTCCCTCTCCCCCCATTGTTATGGAAATTGCTTTTTGCGAGAATTATTTATATTGCTCAGTTACCGTTTTTCAGTAGCTGATTAATAAACAGTCCAAATCAATGGACACTGAATTTTCAGCAGGGTGATTTTTTTCCAAGGAAGACTTAATTTCCCTGCCTTTTCATCCTAAGGATCCAACCACAGATTTTAAGGTTCTAATCTATGAATCGTCCCCAAATAAGAATTTCAGTTCATCTTGTTTATTCTTTATGAGCTAAAGGGAGTTTGTG